TTCATTCAGTCAATTCAGTCAACCCTGGTATACAATCTAAGAACAGTCTCTTTTGGTGAAATTTACTAAGCATGTTCCCTACCTCGCAAAGATTATGCTGGAGTAGTAAACTCTGAAACTAGAGGATTTTTCATCTATATCTTGGTATAGTTGAATCAGGAATTCCATTTTTTTTTTTTTTTTTTTTTTTTTTGCCGAGGTGGTTGAAATCTTTTATAGACATCATATGGGTCCAATCCCCCATATGATAGTGTGGGAGTCCCCTCCATGGTATACCCACTAAACACTCCACCCCGTTGTAGGCTTCGACGACACTTAGGCCTAGTGGCCCATTGTATCTCACCTACATGCCGTTATCAATTTTACCACATACGACTCATGGTGCCTATTAAGGGAAACTTCAATATGAAAGACCCTTTTCGTTCAGGTTCCTGAAGATTGCTCTTCCGATCCCTGTTCTCGTCTACGAAGAAGGCCAAAAGTTTTCCTTCTCCTACGAGTGACGGGGGAAGGGGTTGGTCCAGCCCTGTGGTGCCCCCTGCACAGGGCTAAGGCTGTTTACTCTGGGATGTCGCCCTGTTTCCCAGAGGCCCCGTTAGCGACACCATTCCTCGGTGCCATCCATCCATCGCCACGGGTTCCCACAGCTTGGATTAGGTTGCCAGAGCCTCGTTGACCAGACCTCGACCACCTAGACAAACATCAGCAAATCGCCCCATACCTGCCACAGATGTCCACAAATTGTCCCATCTGGAAGAAGATAGCAAAGATGGTCCCAAAATGCTTCATCCGCCAAGCGGCCGCGGCCTGCCTTCCCCACACCACTTGATGGTGAGGTTGGGCTTGAAGGGGAAGAGGAAAAGAGAAGTTGGCCAAGAAAGGCCGATAGAAAGATTGAAAACGGAAGAGAGAAGAGGATATCACCCAAGACAAGTTGAAGTATGGTGAATATCCGGCTAGGGTACCTCGGGTTCACCATTCCCGTACTCACAAGTTGTGAGCCCCTGAGGGGGGGAATTCCATATGGAAATTACGTATGATACGCCAGTGACCTCAATATAACCTAGAAAACAACAAATGTCAAAAATCTAGTGTTTATCCCCAGAATTGAATAAGGATAGAACTATATAACTGTTTCACAAACACTTTAGAGTGAGAGGAGACGAGGATCTGTCCGTACCCTGTTATATGACTTTAACGTCAATTTCCATCAAGGGACCCTAGGTGACGTCACTTAGTGAGGCCTAACCAGCGGCTCGAAACGACAAGCTTTTATAGCGCTATAAGGCGACCGCGTATTTCGATTTTAGTTTTAGATCATCATCGAGCCGATTTTGCTGTTTTTTGAAGGGCTTCCGGTTAAAAAAGAATGCCAGTCGTCAACTGAGCCCTTCTTCGCACTCCATTCGATTTTATTATGGAAAAACGAAGTTTTAAAGCAAAAACCAGGATAAAACACAAATATCCACCTACAGCAACCCATTAGAATCAAATATATTGGCAAAAATTGTAGTGAAGGTAAACTTCACACCTACTTATACAGGGCCCGCAGAACATGAACTTATCGTGAGATTGATCTAAAATTTTATTTTGATTGACATGCCGTTTGTTACAATCACCTATATTCATCTTGGAGAATTCCTATTACCTGGAAAAATAACCAGTGAGTGTTCTGTTGTTGGATTTTTCACCCAAGTGGATCGTTACACTTGAAACCGTAATTTTTAAGGGTAAAACTGCATTCATCACGCGATGGTTTTTTTTTTCTTGAAAAGTTTTTTCGGTTCTCACGTATTTTTGTCTGATAAACCGAATTTTATTATGAAAATGTGAATAAACCACTATTTATTGAGATATTTCAAGAAAAAGTTCGAAATTTCGCCTTCTTTCTCCCCTTGTGTTGGGGGCATTTGAAGCTACTTGCTCTCATTTTGTCTTTATACACTTACTATACTCATGATGTACTTCGATGGCACATTTTTATATAGAAAATTCAACAGAAAATATGATTTTTATGGCGGGTTTTTCATATTTAGTGAACAAGCAGCATAACTTTTTAGTCAAATATCTTCATGATAAATATCATGATAAATGCAGTTTTACCTTTTCAAGTAGAGTGTTTGTAGTTCATGTTGATATGATAGTTGCAATTTGATCATTGGAATGAATTCTGCATTCATTGCCACGAGGCAAATGACCGTTTTCAGAAAGAAATTTGGGAATGAGAATTAAAAATGCCCGTTTATTATGAACATTCATGAAAATTTCCTCGAATTCAGAGATGATTTTGTTGACTATAATATACGAATACAAAACTAACTGCACAATTGAAGCTTTTCTATTTTTCCTCTACTTATACTTTTTATGAGAGAGTAATTGTCTTCTATTATTAATTCATCATTAAAAATTAAGCTCTGTTCACTACTGAACTTAGATGGAGTAAAATCCTTGCGGTGAATTTCATAAATACCTACATTTTCGATAGCTCCTCGTCCAACGGGAAACTGAAAGCATGAACTTTTGAACCACCCACATAATTCCCCCGACAAAAGGGAACACAACACTTGAAAGGCATTGTTATTTCGCCGATCACAACACGAAATATTTCACAAAACAGTAATTTTTCCGCCAATTATTTTGATGAATAAACAACAAAAGAATTCGGGACCGTTTCAAAAACATACGTGAATCACCGATGAATTAACACGAACTGACGCGTTAGTCGACAAGCGATAAAATGAAACACTGGCCTCTCTTGATGACGTCACGAGCTGTTTACGTCAGAGTCTGCTGGCCTTGTTGTATCGGTGGTAACGCGCGACTCCCTAGCGATGCGCGTATCAATACGAACCACGATAGCCAAGAGAGCATCGTAAAAAATTTGTAAAAGTATATCGCTACTTCAAAGTTGGGAACCAACTCCCCAGAAGTCGATACTTGTGCGGGGTTAGGAAGAGCGGGACCTACAGTTCAATAGTGGAATCCGAACCACTTCTAGGGCACTCCTAGGGCAGGTGCTTCCAGGACTACAACCATGAATCACACATTTCGAAGAAAAAGGCTCAGCCTGATAGCCGGATTCGAACCGACAGTACCTCCGCATCATAAACGGCTATCTAGCGAAGTTCAGCGCATAGACAAACTCGGCCACGGCGCCCCATGTGTGTGTGTATGGATTGAAAGATCGTGGGTTCAAGTCCTCTAATCAACTGAAGAAAATCTGTTTATGACGTCGATAGTAATTTCAGCTATTTCAGTTATTTTTCTTTTTCAGGATCAGTCGGAAATTTTGTGTATATTTGCTTCCGCACGGCTCGCTCGCAATATTTGATGCGTCATGCCTCTAGACGGTGATGAAACATAACGCATCAATCATCACTAACGCGCAGGACTCGCAATAGGAACATTACCGTGAGCATTTCAAGTACTATACACTTCCTCGTACTTCCTGTACTTCCTTGTACTTCCTCGTACTTCCTTATACTTCCTCGTACTTCCTCGTACTTCCTCGTACTTCCTCGTACTTCCTCGTACTTCCTCGTACTTCCTCATACTTCCTAGTACTTCCTTGTACCCTTGTACTTCCTTATAATTCCTCCCTTGTACTTCCTCATGCTGTACACCATACTTCCTCAGCGGTTTACCCCTCGGTTGATATAGATAGAACATGGTATTCACTACTGAAAACTGAACATGAAAATGGTAGATTCAAGATCAATTAATGAAAACATCCCGTAACTCATTTGTAGACTAAAATCACTCATTCATATGCCAACATCAGTATGACACTGAAAACTGTTAAACTATAAGCAGCACCACTTCCAAAGAGAAATATTTTGCATTTTCATGTTGAGAACAGGATCAGATTCGGTCCCGAAACGTCCAAAGATAAGTAAAGATTTGATATTTTTTCCCTTCAAACATTTTTTCAAACAAATTGTCACTGACAAGCTACTAGATTTTTCTTTTAGGCTCCTTGATAGAAAAATTTGTTAAACACAGTGACGTTTTGGGGCAAATCATCTGATTTGTCCCACTACAAATGTATTGAAATAATAGGAATATTTTTTTATAGAAGGGAGGAGAAAATCCCAAAAAAATCAAGTAAAATACACATACATATATTATGTATTATCTAACATTATTCTCTATCATCATTAAATAACAGATGGGGTTATATATTTCTTATACCATGTCTACTACTACACCAGGTGTCACAGAATGAAGTACCATAAATTCTACAGGGTGAACTGGATACCAAAATAAGCCAATTAAATCATTCCACATTTGACATCTCATATTTGGATTGATTATTGATTAAATGGCCATCATATGGTATGATTGTTTACTAAATATGAAAAACACCATAAAAACCATATTTCCTGTTGAATTTTCTATTTAAAAATGTGTCTTTGAAATACATCATAAGTATATAAAGTGTCCAATGACAAAAAAAGAAGAGCAAGTAGCTGTAAATACATCCAAGACAGGGGGAAGAAGGCAAAATTTTGAACTTTTTTGAAATATCTTGATAACTAGTGGTTTGCTAACATTTTCATTATGGAATTCCTGTTTTTCAGACAAAAATGCATAGATAACAAAATAAATTTTTGAAAAAAACCCATCACATGATGAGTGCAAAATTACCTGAAGTATTCAAGAAAATCTGGAAATAAACTTGTTCTTCATTGCCCTCTCATAGCTCAACGGTGCATTTTCATATAGAGATAAAGAGATATGTTGATTTCAATCAGGCTAATTTGGTCTCTAGTTCAACCTGTAGAATTTATGCTCTGATCTGGGACACCTTGTATAACCAACATAAGCAGAGAACAGCACTATTTAAGGGACCACTAGGCTGCTATTTATAGAAACCCTGTATTATATCTCCCTCATTACTAGGAGTGATAGTGGTCAGAGTATTTTTGAAATACCTAGGTGTGTTTTCATTTACTGCAGGTTCATGTTGTTACTACTAGAAGTAACCTCTAAATACTCACACTTTGAATGTTTGATTATTTCCAGAAGTGTTCTTATAGCAGCTACTCCTACAGAAACATCTTCATCTTCCTTTATAATCTTGCAGAAGTACTGGCGAACTTCTGGATAAGTATAAAATGTTAAGAACCTTCCCAAGATGTCTTGTAACAACTAATAACTTACTTTCACCTTCCATTATTTATACGATTATGCTAATATTTTTGAGTGAATCAGTTCATTTAAAAATTAATGGTTCCTTATACTGGAAGGTGTGGAATCTTCCAGCACTTCCCTGTTCACTATTTTCAAGAAATTCAAAATTCAAGTTGTCCAGTTGAAATCCTACACCATACATAAACATAACCTAAAAAGAACAGCTGATCGAAATGGTTTATGTCAAGGTCAGGTCAGGAAGTGCGTACAGGTACAACTGTCGTATATTTAACAGGGATTCACACCAGCTTCGCTCTTCAAACTTCTAAATTCTTCAGAAACGGTGAACTTCTTCAGTGAGTGAACCCATTCGATAATAATTATTACTGTTGGTTGTTGCGGTTGTAGATCCGGACACGACAGTCGTAGTTGTTTGCCCTCCAATACAACCTGTATAATTGCGACTGCATCTATTCGTAATTCAATAACGTACAATAATTTACCTTCACCTACTACCAATATGTAATGTGAAACATTAAGACACTGATTTTAGTATCGTAATGAGATACTTTACCGCACTAGTGCGGTCAAATGTTACCTCAGCGCAATAGTGCGGTAAAGTAAAAACAATATAATTTCAAATTTGATTTTGTTTCAAAAAAAGAAATAAGAACCAATTTATTATGAATATAGCAGGTACTAAAGTTTCGATTGCTGCATTCGCCACAATTTCTATACCGAAATCTGAACTCTCCTGATCCGAATTCATGCCAATGAATATTTTTAGAATTGAAATCAACACTTCAAAGTTGACAGTTCGCCGAATGAGTGACAACCGAGAACACAATAGATTCACGACGACCATACGCCCAACCCTTGCAACGCTTGCTTTTGTTACATATTTCTAATGAATCGTCATCAGTTCAAGGAATAATGAATATTCTTGATTAAATAATTACCTTTTTGGTAGTAGGTAAAATATTGTACTATATTGATCATTCCAGAACACGTGATTTTGACATGGTTGCTTGAGGGGCACACAAACTATCTGTTAGAGGTTACCTTTGATGAGCATTGCCCTAGCCATCCCTGCCACATCTACAATATAATAACAGTTTCACCAAACACAATTATGTGATTCTTTCTGGTTCCAATTCGGATTCCAAGGAAAACGATCCCACTTATTCTGGTTTTATATGACATATCTTGACAAGATACAATGTTTGCCCCTCAGCAACCTGTCAAATGACGTAATTCTGGAATGATATATTGTCGTATCGTAAACTCATATTACGATAATCGAATATATCAATGCTTATCCGCAACTATAGGGTGAATTAGAAAAAAGCCTATCCGTTAGCAAATGTAGTTGTGGGAGTTAATTTACGTACGGGTAGCATCAATGGGATAGCATTCATGGTGTTTGTTCGCACGTAAACGTACGGATAAAGTGCCTTATGACTATTTGTATGTATTCGGTATGTACGCACTGCGTGCTAATAGACACTCCCTGAGATGGCTGCTGTCAAAAACCAAAGAATGGTGTCCAAAACCAAAACATAAACACTCAAACAGTCAGAAAACTAAGAAAAATAAAATAATAATAAGAGGAACAATAAGTAAATTTTTAAAATTCCAACTATATAGTTTATATATTATTTGTGGATAATTATTGAGCATGGATTGTACAAAACGACGTCGAGTCACTGTGAAATTCAAATCTGCTAATCCATTATTTGAGCAATGGCTAGCAGAATGGGAGGAAAAAGCAAAAATGAAGGGTTCAAAATCACATCATACCTTCCAAAAAGCATTAACCTATTTGAGAAAATGCCCAATACCTCTAAATTCTGGAAAAGAATGTTTGATTCTGAAAGGATTTGGTGAAAAATTATGTCAAATGCTGGACAGAAAGTTACAAGAACACTCAACATCCACAAATGTTGACAATGATATTCACCCAATTATTTCAAATAAAGATGATTGGAACAGAAGTAAAACTCAAGGATTACCGGAAAATACTGCTGGAACAGGACTATCAATTGTAAGGAGGAAGGGAGAAAATAAGGAAAGTAGTTCTAGTTCTTGTGAATCTGATGGTAGTTTGGTTGACTACATGCCAATACCCAGAACAGGTGAATATGCTATACTCCTAGCACTGTATAAAAAACATATGCAACCAAACTATCCAGGATATTCTACAAAACAAGAAATAATTTCTGAAGCAATACAATTCTCAGATATTTCTTTCACAAAACTTGAAGGTAAAAGGACAGCTTGGTTTGCAAGGAAAACACTTATTTCCAGGAAGTTATTGACAGAGAAGAGCAAACCTCTAAAATATTCCCTAACTGATTCAGGGATTTCATTAGCAAAAAAACTGTATGATGATTATTTTTTTTACATGTCAAAATGTGACGTTTTCCTTGTTTCAACCAATATCAATGCGTGATTCTAGCCAATCATTCGGAATCATACTGATAATTTGTTAGTATCAAATTACCGCGATGACTTATTCACGTTTGGATCTTCCTTCAAATGGATACAAAAAGGGACCCATAGACTGCGATGTTGATAGGCTGTTTTGTTCGACTAACAAGTCTGTTCGAACAAAAATTGCGCACAACCGAAGTGTGTGGCTGTAAAATGTTCGTTTTCGCTGGCCACACACTTTAGTTTTGTGTCTTTTTTGTTCGAACAGACTTGTTCGACGAACAAAACGGCCTACCAACAACGCAGTCTATGGGGCACCTTTAGAGAATTAGCATTGACTTGACTTGGTTGTCAAGGTAACGCAGCTATTTGTCTCAATGTAAACATTTCGAATTCAGAACCGACGCCATTGTTAAGTATCAGTCAGACTTCGTATTTTGTGATTTTCTCTAACGTTTAAACGAGTTGGTATAGGTTCGGAAAAACTTTACAATTATTATTAGTCATTAACAGAAACCGACATGAGCACGAGATTTGGTCAAAGCTCGGCTGATTCAATACATTTAGCTGTCGAACAAGCAACACCAATCAACACCACAAAAAGCAAGAATACGATATGGAAACAGTTTTTGGAGTTCTGCCTTGAACGTAATTATGAGTTGACTGCAACAACCGAGATGAAACAAATCGCATCAATTATGGAGGACTGGGCATATAACATGCGAAAAAAAAATGGAGAAAACTACAAAGAATCTGTTGTCAAAACTTTGTGGAATGTCACCGCAAAACTTATCCAGGAAAAATATTTCAGGGAGTATAATAGAAACATTGATCCGTTCACTGATATTGAATTTAAGACCGCGCGAGATGCGCGGAATTGCAAACGTCGAGAACTTCAACATATTCCTGAAAAAAGAAAAGCATCTTCTGTTGCTCTCAAGAAAGAAGAAATAGAAAAAATGATAGCAGCATGGGACGAAAATACTCCAAATGGCTTACAAAGGAAGTTTTATCATACTGCTAGCTACGAATTGGCTTGGAGAGGCGGAGAAGCGACAAAAGCATTAGTACAGTATTTTAGAGAAGAAATGGATCATTATGGAAATCAAACTGGAAGGATAGAATATAATCCAATAATTTCTAAAACAGCACAAGGAGGATCGCACAGGTTATCTGATAGCAAATTTTTAACGCCAAATGAAAATGAGACTGAAAAATGTCCAGTACGTCTCTTTCGGAAGTTAATGTCGAAAAGAAGTGCAAATATTCAAATTGATCGTTTATTTTTAACACCTAATCCAAATTGGCAGCAACCTTTGTCTAAGGGGTGGTACAAAAATCTTCCGGTAGGACAAAATGAAATAGCAAAATGGACAAAACAAGCGGCCCGAAAGATTGGCTTGGATCCTAGCAAAATCAAGGTTACAAACCATTCACATCGTTCTTCTGCTGTGACACAACTCGCTAAAAGTGGAGTAAGTGAGCAGCAGTTGTTGAAGATAACTGGACATTCATCTGCAAGCTCCATCAAACCCTATCTTCAACTTGACAAAGAGCATCACGCAAGCATGATAAACAACTTGAGAGGAAACACTGTTTCGACCTCTTCATCTCAAGGAAATTGTACAATAACATACAATAATTGCACCATTACAAACGTAAATTGTAAACATTCTTGATTGTTTGATATATAATTATTTGATATATAATTGTTTGATATATAATTGTTTGATATATAATTGTTTGATATATAATTGTATGATAAATGATTGTTCAATAAATAATTGTTTAATAAACATATTCTGGGGCATTTTGCGAAATAGTAAAAAAAATAATCACGCCGAATTACATTCGTGTTGGTTATTTTTTTAAATAATTTTAACTAGATTTAGCACTCGTCTTTGTTGCTATTGAGAAATCCCACTCGTGGACTTCGTCCACTCGTGAAATTTCTATAGCAACAAAGATTCGTGCATCTAGTTAAAATTATCAAAAAATTACCACCACTTGTGTAATTACTGTTGAAAATTATTCAAATGATAATAATAATAAAGAAAGTTTGGATGAAAATCCATTGAGGATCATTGAGCTAGGTAACATTCAAACTCAGCATCAAGCTCAGAGTTCCCTTCATAATGATGACATAATAATTTTTGATGGTGTTCCACCAGAGGTTGGAAGCTCAATTGGAAGTGATTTTTCAGCAGCACCAGTTTCATCGAAACAGAGTGACTATGTTTCAGATCTAATTTCAAAAAAAGGTTTACCTTCACATAAAAGTATTACAAAACATCCTTCTACCAGTTCCACTACATCCACACAAAGTCAGTCTCAGGAAGAATGTGTCATTTTTCAACCTGGAAGTTATGATATCATTTTATATGTTGATACTGCTGAGACAACTGGGTAAGTCAAATTTGATCCATCATATTTGAATTTGTTTGAATTTATGTGGGTAGACAGATTCTCTGAGAGATGGGTGAAAAAAAATTGTTAAATTTTTATATCACTACTTCAAAGTTTCGAACCAACTCCCC